GGGGGATAGGGAGGGAGGGTTGGCAGCAAAGCAAAAAGAGTCCAGAGTTACTCTATGAAAGTAACCAAGAAAGTCACAGACACCAAAAATTATCTCTTCTTTGCCTTTAAACCTGTAATAACTAACGTCAGGCATATATTTACATGCTTTACAGTCCACATACTCTAGTAGGAGAGAGCCTTCAAGATGTATTCCTGGTGCTGGCATTATCTTTTCCAAAGTAGACATGCCTCACTTACGTTTTGCCTTGATCTACCTTTCATACTGAAGAATTTTATATGTCCCTTATATAATAAAGGCAATATACAAGTAACCATGTATATCATCAGCAATTGTTCTGGACCTCACAAGCCTTGTTTTCTTTAAGGAAAAGAAACACTTGTATAACCTCAAGGAGCTTCACTGTGATCCCCAGCCTTTATCACTGTGTTAGATATGGCTAGGTTAGCCTGCAACCTAGATCTCCAAAACAGCACAGTTGAATTAGGCTACTGCTGAGCCCAGGCTAATTAGCCCTGTGCCACAGCAGGTAGATATACACATTAAGTCTCTGTCTGTGGTAGTATAAAGTGGCTTTAAAGTTAGACCATATGCAATTCATACTCTCTCTAAGTTTGCCTTATCACTTTCAAAGCAGATTTAGTGTAAACACAAATTAAACTCCAAGGAAATTTCATTGAAAATGATCCTGTCATGATTTTGAGGGATAGTTTTGATTGCACAGAGGGAAGCAGCTACAGGTTTGCCTCGCAATGTAAAGAAAAATGTTACTCCACTGACAATCAGTTTTCTGGACGCTAACAGAAGCACTGCAGAAGACATAAGTCAACTGATTTAATCCTTTGCTGCCTCATTTTACTTATCTGTGAAAAGCAGATAACACTTCTGCTCATCCAGAATAATCTTTTTTTATACACATTATTATCACCCCCAATTCCACAACTAAATGTATATCATCAATATTAGTTAATTTCATATCTGAGATAAATGAAGAAATAGACAAAGAGTCAGTGAGTGAGATCTGGAACTCCACGTAAAGCCCAGACAGTCTGAGTAGTGTTTCTCTCTTTTAACAAAGTCATCTGAACAAGATCTTCACAGGTGCTACAAAACACAAACCTGTTCGTAAAGAATGGGAGCTCTTCTCTTGAAAGTCTTTGTAAAAATGCAAAGCGTTATTATGGTTAATTACTCTTATTAAGCAAACTGAAATTCAAAATTATGCTGTCAGAGTTGTGCAATTGGGTTTCTGGTCATTAATGCATTTCATTGCCTCTCTCCTATGGAGCAACTGTTGCTTTGGCAAACATGTATTTACCCCAGAGATTTTGATAAGAGAGACTGATTTGTTGCTTTTAAACTTCTAAGTTTTTGCTTGCCTAGTGCCTTCTCGAATAGACTTCTAGTTCTCCAAAATAACAGGAAACATACACATTCACAGCAATCTGCATAATCTGTGGGCAATGGAAGGAGGAACTGCATTAGGGTTAAGCATGAGAGATTACAAGCATTCAAGGCAGTCTGGGAGCAGGCTGACGTTGGGAAGGGAATGCAGATTTCACCTATATCTAAATTATGATAAATTAGTATGTAACAAGTAGGGAGAAAAGAAGAAAACAGAAGTTATGAATGGAAGTGTACAAAACTGGTAAAGGATTAAAAATGGTAGAAATACAAATCCATGGCTGAAGTTTAGCCAGTGAAAAGAGTATATGCAGCTATCTTAAGAGTAAAGGAATTTAAGAATAACCCTAGTCCATCACCTCACCGTTAGGGTGGAATTGCAAATACTAACACCCAACATACTAAACTCAATGAAAAATGCCAAGTGGTTCAATTATGTTCACATTAATTATTCTGAAGGGAAAAAAAAAGTATGCTTATATCGAGGGATGATGAACGTACCAACTACTAGTGCCAACCATTTCAAAGTTACTTGGAACACAAAATGTGGTCCTCAACAGTTTAAAACAGCTAGGCAAAAGGGTATTCAAGCAGCGAATACTGAGTTGCCATATGTTTTAGAAAACTGGGGAAGTTCCAGAGGAGGAAATACACTTCGCGGACCACATTTTTTAAAAATTAAACAAGATGAGCAGATAATGGTAGATTTATCAGTTGGCATCAAGGACAAAGTCTTCACTGCTCTTACAGAATAATCATAAAGGAGGACTCATCAATGCATGGGAATATTTTAAGGCTTCAGCCATTTCTATTTTTAATAATATGTGGAAAAAAAGCAGCAAAATAACTGAATTTGCACATGAAGTCAGTTCAGGTAAGGGTAACCAAAACTGCATAGTCTGATAAAATACATATAAATATCTTCATTTCAAAATGTCTAACTCTAACAACAAAGAATTATGCTTTCACCTATGTGATGTAGAAATGATAGGTGAAAAACAAAACCCAAGAAAACTCTCCAGAAATGATCAATGTATTACTGAGTAGAGAGCTCAACAATGCCAAAAAAACTAGTGGAGGCTTTTGGAGAGATAAACTGAAAGATACTTCCCAGGCTTACAGAATTTATGGGACATTTTTACTTGACTTTGATGTGACTGCATATAGATTACAGTGATTGTGTTATTCACCCATCAAAAGTGTGTTGGTTAGTCACTGGAGCATAGTCAAAGGATTGGAGAATGTGCCTAAAGGAACTGAGTAACTGCAATTACTGAGATTATGAGAAAGAAGTTTGAAAGATGCATCTGTCACAGTTCATAAGTAACAGTGCTAGGAAAAGGCATGTGATAATAGAGGGGTTCTACTTAGCAAACAAGAGATTACAGTATTCCGACTGCTGGAAACAGAAGCTTGAGACAGCCAGATACGAAAGCACCAGTTTTCATCAGTAAGCATAAATCATCGGAACAGCCTAACAAGACTGATGATGGATACTCTGCCATTGTAACTTTTCCTCCCTATACATGCACTTCTACTCTGCTTAACACAAGAAGAAATATGCACACCAGAACAGGTCATACCAGCCTTATGCTGTCAGAGCTTGGGAGCCTTTTCTTACCTGAAAGCTGACGCTGCCCACTGGGAGATAGCTGCGATCTTCAAGCATGCTCAGGTACTCTGCCACCAGTGCTGCAGCATGGACCAGACACATGGCTGCTTCTGTGTAGCACTTCCTCTTGGTGTGCTTCTCTGCCATATTCTGCAGCCACGTCAGCCTCAAGTCAGGCGATGTTTGGTAGCCTTTGGCAATTCTAACACCACAGGGCAAAAAGGAGGTGTGAATGATCACTTCTCAAATAACAGAAAGAACATTTATAATCCTCCACCTGGGCTGAGTGGAAGGAGACATCTCTGTCTTTATTCTGTATAATTCAGTAATCACAGGGCAAAAGAAATGGCAGGACACACAGGAGCTATGAGGAGAGTAAAACTGCTGAACTCAAGATTCTTCAGTGTTCATCAGTCAGTCCCTGACTCCCATCCTTGCCCAAGTCTATGCTAACCTCCCAGTGGCTCCACTGCAGCATGCGCAGTCCTGTGGCCTGGGCTCCCTGTGAGAGGTCAGGGGTGCCAAAGCCTTTTTGCACAAACAGAACAGCCGGAGGGCTTGTCCACAGCTTGTCCCCAGAACATACAGTTATTGTGCTCACCTCACTGTAAAATTTCCTCAGCAGCAATTCTAAATGGACTCACCTGTACATGAGATCCATGAGCATCTCTGGATCTTCCTGAAATTCCCTCATTTTCACTGTATCTGACAGGATGCTGTTCAGATTACACAGCAGCTCCTCTACCTGCAGTAATACAAAGATGAACATGCATTTCTCAGTTGTTTATTTTCTCCCTTCTAGAAAAAAACAGCACCTGCACCAGATTATCTTACTCCTGTTTAGTCCCTCTTACCCAAGGAAATGTCAGGATGCTGAATTGCTACAAGATATGTTTTTCCAACTCTATTAATTGCATCTCTCACATAGCAGATTTTATACACACATTTTAATTAATCAAAATGAGCTGGGATCCTTTAATCTGCTTATTTCTGAATAAAAATAATCAAACCTATGTGCTGATGTTCAGTTTTAGTTGGTCTGTGATCTGATAACAAAGCAGATTTCTTTTTAAGTCTTTAGCACAAACTGATTTACTGTAAGAATTTTAGCAAAGCATCTGACAGTTGTCCGAAATGTTTTTCATTATTGCTGTTGCCACCTTATTACCTGAAAAAGGAAGCTAAGTTTCCATGATGCTACTTGTCTGAAAACATAATGAATCAAATTCCATCTTGGGAAACTCTTACAGGGTAGAGTTCCTGCTGGGGTCTAGAAGGAAGTTGTACACAAAGCCAAGAGATGATTCTCTTGTTATGTGATTTCAATGGAACCTCTTAGGAGTTTATTCTATGGAATTATGTCCTCCACTTCTTCCCTGCTTATTGTCGTGTTGGAAATAAATTCATGCAATAACCCCTGCATCCTTATTTTCATTGCTTTGGAAGACCATATAGGACTTGCTCCAAGCACATTCCTTTGTGAAAGCTCTTGATAAAAGCCATAAATGTCATAAAAGATTTGACCTGAATGGGAAATGGAGTTGCCTGCATATCCGCATCTTCTTCTGCATAGGCTAGGATAGTTCGTAAGGACCGTCGGAGGAATTCCTCATTAAACTCGGGTGACTTGCCAACCAGAGAGGCTAGTGACATGGTCACCTGCATCTTCACTCTTGCAAAATTCTTTCAGAAGAAAAAGCAAAAATATGAGAGAATGATGGCTGCACTGCACTGTGCATATCAGTTTATAAACCTTTGTCTACTGGATAAACCAAACCCATTTTTTCCTGTCCATACTGAATGCATTAAACTCACCGCTCACATGAGTGGCCACTGGTGCATCAAAGCCAGTCCTGTTTTACCTGGTCAAGCCAAATTTCTCTAATTCTGACATCTCTGTACTTTAGGTCAATATACCTTGGAATACACATGCTTGCTTGAGAAAAGGGGAAGTCAGATGAACCTCTTTCCCCCTCTGCACAGGCCAGTGGGTGTGTAGATCAGGCCACTCATAGAAGAAAAGAGGAAGCAGGACTGGGAAAACATTCTGGAAACAAGTCTAGAAAGCAAAAGGCTTCTGAGGGCTTCATGTAGTGATACACTACACCTTGCTGATCATGGTGTCTCAGAGGCACATTTTCCTTCTGGAAAGCCAACACTTTTTACATATTGAAGGCTTTTAAAGTAACAACTAGTGAAGAAAATTCTGTGCAAGATCAGATGCTATCCAAAATGCTAAAGTATGTCCTTTCACGCTAGAACATTGTGAACTTACATGCATAACATGTATTTTGCTCCATATGTGTAGTAAGAATGAGAGCCCCGTCCTGAGACCAAGAGGCCAGTGAAGAATTCCCAGTAATACAAGCATACAGTAGTTCTGCTGAGGTTGTGACTGCATTAGAATAGAACTGTCTAAGTAGTTCTGACACAGGAATGAAAAAAAAATACAAGACAAAATGAAGAGTATTGCTATCAGAGGCCTAATGCTGTTCTATTTGAAGATGTATTTACAGATGTTGCAAAAAAAAAAAAAGTCACATTTTCCTAAACAAAATAATGAATAGTAATTACAACTACTTTCCCTCTATGCTTCTATCACTTCTTCTGGCTCAAATGTAGCATAACATATGACTATTTATCTGCAGATGAGTTACATTTGCTATCACAACTTCAGTTTCAGTCTCAATTGATCACAAAAAAAGGTGTCACGAAACATAATGCTCTTCTAAAAATCTTACACTGGTAGAGCTGAAGCTGTATCTCATGAGGAGGTAAAGAGTGGCACAGGCTTGAGTCCGTGTAATATCTATGCTGCTGCTGCAGTGATGGAGAATTCTTTGACACAGGTCAGCACACTGTTCAACCTCCTCTTCAAACAGGAAATCTCCGAACTAAAGTAGATAGAGAAGAAAACAATTACTCTCATTTATGGACATTAAAACATCATTAGCTTAGCGCACAAAAATTTCAGGATTCAGACAAAGACTAAAGTTTGCATAAGTTTTACACTTAAAATTTGGAACTCTAATTACTGTGATGCTATAGGTTCCACTTTCAATCTTTTCTATAGAGATGAAAGGTTTGATAATAGTCTTTGTGCTTACAAAAAGAGCAGCAGATAGAGAGAGAACAAAAAATTTCTCAGTGTCCCATGGCTCCAGGAGCTTTTGAAAACATCAAATATTGCAAAATTTTTAGAAGCGTGCAGAGTTCCTATTCTCAGAATATATAATTGTTGATGAAACATGCAAATACTTCCTTAAGCATAAGAAGCAATTACTAGCTTTTTGCATCAACGCCCCACCCTTCCCCAGCCCTCCAGCAAGTTCTTCCTCCTACGGTGAGCCACAAAACTTACATTGCCCAGCTTTCATGCCAGACCTTCCTTTACAGTGTTTCCACAATGCACCTCACAGACAATAAACCCAGGAGGCAAGATGTCTGTCCTAAGAAACTCTCACCATAGACAGCACAGATGCGTGAGTACTGTATGTACATGTATAGAACTGACAAAGGTGTGCAAGCAGAACACAGGATAGTATTTCTCATTTGCAGGCCTATTTCCCAGTTCTCAACATTTCTTCACTTCCATTATCTCACTGTTTTATGTCTAATTTATAATACAAATCTGCTGGCACAGAGTTCTATCACTTTTATTTGTAAAATAACATCTATATACCTACAGTGTAATAGAATAATTGGAATGATTGCTTCATGAAATACAGAATTGTGTCAGCTTAACTAGAAGATCTATTTAAATGAGAATAACAATTGCTTCACAAAATTCATTATTGTAATTGGAAGTTAGCTTTCAAAGATAAAGTACAATGAAAACATAGTTATGACTTTCATAACTACTCAGATAACTACCCTGTAATTAGGCTTTGTCAGCCAATCTGCATTTAACAGCAGACAGGCATTAACTGGACAGGAGTATCCTGTTTGTTATTTGCATTTTAGAATAGTTTAGGGGAAAAAAACATTTCATGAATTTTTCCTTTGTGGAACTGCTTTTCTTTGCAGGAGAATGAGTCTTAAACAGATTTTAGAGAGTCCTCATAAAGGACCTAACCTATTATGACCCATATTATAAAAATGTTGGCTCAAATTCTGTTCTCATGTACATTTTTAAACACTTATTTTTATTGGTGATACAGAAATGAAAGATTAGGATTTCAGGCAGAACAAAGATGAAATCTGACAGCATCATAGAATCTACTTAGAATTTTGGATGCTCTCTTGGAAGTGGAAACTCAGAGTGATCCCCCTGATCTCTGATGGTTAGCTTTGATTTCTCTGCCGCCCAACTGGTTGGAAACTAGTCCTGATGATACAATAATTTTAATTTGACTTTATGGAATCTGTGTAATCCCTAGGAATCCCATTCAGATTCCTAGTTAAAATCAGAATGTATTTGAAACATAATGGATGGAATTTTTTACCTTTTTATTAGTAAATCTTCTATATTTAAGAGTAAACTGCTAAAACTGCTATTATTCAGATTCAGTTATTTCATCTTGTGTGTTAAATGAAATAACCTTCCAACAGCTGTAGAAGTCCCTTAACATCCCTATAGATAGGCATTTGTATTTACATATGCAAAACATATTTAATGAATGCCAAAGGAAAAGTGGTAAGTGAATGCACACAGCTCTGTTCTAGAAATGCTGCTCTAATAACTTGACTGGAAGGATGAAAACAGAAGTATGTCAAGAGCCTACCTTAGCAATGAGTGCTCTGAGTGTAGCAAAGCAGTGAGTCAGGTAAGTAGTGCTCTGATCACAGCCAAGAGAATTTACCAGGACCTTCAAAACTCCTCCCAAAAGATTGTCTCTGCACTCTGCCGCAAAGCTTGCCTACACATAGAGGAGAAAACCAACAGCAACTGCATGAGGTAATTCAGCAATGAACCCGTACATAGGAACCAAAGTTCTGCTCTCCTGTCCATGAGACACATCCAGGAGTTTAGAGACAGCAGTTTTTTCATTTGTTAACATCTGCTTCAGAGGAATTTCAAAACACTTCCGTAGTGATCAGGAAGATAGAGGGGGAAATGTCCCAAACATTTCTCAATATCTGCAGACCCTCCCATGCATTTTTAAGCTCAGACACCTTCTGCAGTGACTCTTGAAACTCTGTCCACCTTCTGTCCAATCTTTCGTGTACCTTGGTGTCCAGTGGGGAACAGTGCAGCAATTCAATAAGCAAATAAGGCACTTTAATAAAGCAACAGGAATAATACAGATTCGTGTGGATTGCTGGTGATAATGTACTGTCTGCAGAAGTATCTACAAGCATGAAGGTCACAAATTAATAAAAGGACTAAGTTAGGAAAACAAGTTCTCAGGGCAGTATAAATCTCACCTAAAGGCATCCCAATGCGGGGGAAGAGAGGTTCAGCCCATCAACTGATCCCAGAGGTCACGGGTCTGTGATAGTATCTCCCCTAACATCCCCCTTTCTTTGGGCTACTTTTATATTATTTTTACCTTCAAGGTGGAGCTTGAGTGACTCTAGTCATACCAAAAATCTAGAGTGTATGCTCAGTAAGGGGGGTGGGGCAGGGAGAGTGGTCTTTGAGCGGAGGTGTGTTTTGGTGTTATCATGACAAAGTTTATTCAAGGTTCACACAAGGAGGGCATTTGTCTAAAGGGTAACATATTGTCAGCCCAGGGTTGCAAGCAGATAGCATATCAGCTTCTTGGTGCTGTGAGTCTCTTCTGCAGTGATTAAGAGGGCTTAGCCAAGGAATATCCACTCCTTTCTACCCTCCATATAGATATGCAGACCAGGCTCTCCAGGAGACAAGCTTGGAGAGGATTCTTCACATACCATCTTTCCTGGGATCTTCTTCGACATTATACCTTTCCTTAATGTGTGATCAATGCTGGGGTTTTTTATTTCTAAGTTACCCCCAGTAATTATTCCACATATTCTACCCCATGACTATAGTCACTCAAGCTTCACAATGTTTTAAAAGAGCTGGAGATACCACATGTGACATGTGGTGAGGATTATCTAGTACATGTACATCTTGTGGGGACATTAAATGGCATAAACGCTTCATCATAATCCAAAGTTTAACATACATTACAATTGTTAAAGCAAAGCACAATACAGTGAATATTAATAAAACAAAAACAGGGTGAAGCATCTTGTTGAAAATTCCTGTAGCAATCAGTGACCATCCAAAAAGAGTGTTCCACCATTCATATTGTCCGTCTCTCTTGACTTTTTCCAACACTTGATGTATTTTTTATAGATTGTGACTGGACAGAAGATGCAGGGCACTATCAAGTGAATCTGGAATTAATGCACCCGGACTTGCAGTGCCACATTGAGTAAACTGTGCCTGTCCATAACTAGCCACACTGTTCCCCACTGGTTGCCACTAAATTCTGCAGATTTAGCCATGAGAGTCCATAAATCGTGGGCAGACATGAGTGCAGTGCACTATCGAGTAGATCCGCTGCTGTCGGACTCATAGTGCTGAGTTGGGCATCACCCAGGATCTAAGCCTAGCTGCTCCCAGCTCCTCTAATATCTGAGGATAAGCTGGAATGCAAGGGGGTTTATTTCCTGCCAAATTGCTTTATTGCCCTTTTCAGGCAACACTTGGAGCAGGAAGTGATCCAGTGGTGGGCAAGCACCATCCTTTCCCTTGCCTCCTCATGCCCTGGTTTCCTGGGCATATAGATTAAATAGGGAAACTGGTATGCTCTGATCAAGACCACAACCAAAACAGTGGGGCAACTAGGTGCTATAAGGGGTGTCATGCAAAAATCATGCCCAGTACTACAAGAGACTAGTAGCTAAATGTTTTTCTACTAACAGGTTTTCAAGAACAAAGTTTTCTCCTTGCTATCTGTGAATATACATGTTGCTCCAACAGTGGTATTCCCACACCCATGAATTTGGTGAGTCTCTCCTAAAGCAGGAGACCATGCTTAAGCAGAGTCAACTACCATGGCTCCACTGCTGTCAAAGGGCCTGTGAAATTTTACTGTGTCTAACTCCTAGAAGTTAAGTAAGTTCTGCATATTACATTGCTCTAGGGGGTCATATCTCTTTTCAGAAAGACTCCATGCAGGTTGAAGATACTTTCCTGCACTGAGCACTCTGTGGTAGTCAAGGTTAAATTCTCTCGTCTCACAGGATCATATATGCAAGTGTGACCAAAGGCCACCCAGCAATCCAGTTCCAAATTACTAATATCTTCAGATACATTCCTAACATAAATCAGGTTTTTCTTCCCTCATCTTCTCCAAACTCCAGGATCATAGTAAGACAGTAGAAATGGCTTTCAACAACTACTGAAGACAAGGTGGTAGTTTTTCCGTTCATTCACAGTAGTGCAATACCCTACAGCAGGAGGAGCTTGGGGCAACAGCATAAGGCAGGCAGCAATTTCATCTTTGGATTCATTCTTCTTCCTGTTTCAACCAGGACACCCTTCAAGATTACACAAGTTTACAGAAGATCTTTAATTAAAATACTTTGCACTGACTAAGAAACACAAGGAGAAATTAATCTTTCTTCCATTGGCTTCTGAGGGAGCAGGGATTGGTACCAAGACAGCTCTGACATTTCTCACCTGGATGATGTTCTCTTGCATATCAAGAATGATCAGGTTAGCTTCAGTTGCCAAATTTCCACTGATCAGAGCTTCTTGATCTAACTCAGCCTTTGTCCTGTGAAAAGGAGTTCTAATTAAAGCACGCAGCAGAATACCCCAAGAGTTAGATGATCTGCTGTTTAAACAAAGCCAAAATACAAATGATACCATTCTGAACAAACCCATAGAGCAAACAATGAAAATAGTGTTCAGAGGTGTTTCTTAACTTTGGAGTTAAGAACTCTTAATTATGGAGTCAAATGAGGAGAGGTGATATGGTAAACAGAAGTCCCAAAGGGGATACTTGAAAACGAAGTCTTTTCGAAGTTCAGATAGGTGCTTCTGCTTCCTTAATAGCAATTTGTGTAATGAATCACATAGAATCACAGAATCCACCCTTCCAATCCCTTCAGGGTTGGAAGGGACCCCTGAAGATCATCTAGTTCAACCCCTCTGCTAGAGCAGGATCACCTAGAGTAGATCACACAGGAACATGTCCAGGTGGGTTTTGAATGTCTCCAGAGACAGAGACTCCACAACCTCTCTGGGCAACCTGTTCCAGTGCTCTGCTACCCTCATAGTAAAGAAGTATTTCATTATGTTTACGTTGAACCTCCTGTTTACCACTTTGTGACCATTGTCCCCTGTCCTGCCACTGGACACCACTGAGAAGATTCTGGCCCATCCTCCTAACACCTGTCCTTTAGATATTTATAAGGATTGGTGAGATCCTCCCTCAGCCTCCTCTTTTCCAGGCTAAGCAGACCCAGCTCTCTCAGCCTTTCCTCATATAGTGGATGTTCCAGTCCCATAATCATCTTAATGGCCCTGTGCTGGACTCTTTCTAGTAGTTCCTTGTCCTTCTTGAACTGGGGAGCCCAGAACTGGACACAATACTGCAGGTGAGGCCTCAGCAGGGCAGAGTAAAGGGGGAGGAGAACCTCCCTCGACCTGCTGGCCACAATCTTAATGTATCCCAGGATGCCATTTGCTTTCTTGGCCTTGAGGGCACACTTTTGGCTTATGGTCAGCCTGTTATCTACCAGGACACCCTTACAATCATGATTCTGAGTGACTTCTTTCCCCAGAGCTGCTCTCCAACAGGTCAGCTCCCAACCTGTACTGATACATGGGGCTGTTCTTCCCCAGATGCCTTACTTTACACTTGCCCTTACTGAATTTCATTAGGTTTCTCTGTCCAGCTGTCCAGTCTGTCCAGGTCCCACTGGACGGCAGCACAGCCTTCTGGCATGTCAGCCACTCCTCCCAGTTTTGTATCATCAGAAAACTTGCTGAGGGTACACTCTGGTCCTTCGTCCAGGTCACTGATTAATACATTGAACAGGGCTGGATGCAGTACTGACCCCTGGGGAACACCACTAGCCACAGGTCTCCAGCTACACTCTGCCCCACTGACCACAAGTCTCTGAGCTTTGTCCTTCAGCCAGTTCCCAATCCATCTCACTGCCCAATCATCCAATCCAAACTTAAACTTGTCTGTGAGGATGCCATCGGAGATAGATAGTGCCAAAAGCCTTGCTGAAGTTGATGTAGATCACATCCACTGCCCTCTCATCATCTATCCATCTAGTTATGACTTTGTAAAAGGGTATTAGATTGGTTAAACATGACTTCCCCTTGGCTGCTCCCTAACCTTCTTTTCCTTGGCACACTTTGAGATGGTGCCAAAAACAAGCTGTTCCATCACCTTTCCAAGAATGGAGGTGATGCTGACTGGCCTATAGTTACCCGAGGTCTCCTTCTTGCCTTTTTTGAAGACTGGAGTGATTTCAGCTTTCCTCAAGTCCTCAGGCACCTCTCCTGTTCTCCAGGACTTCTCAAAGATAATGGAAAGTGGCTTAGCAATGACTTCTGCCAGCTCCCTCAGCACTTGCGGGTGCATCCCATCAGAGACCATGGATTTGTGAATGTCCAGTTTACTTAACTGATCTCTAACCCAATCCTCTTCAACTGAGGCAAAGTCTTCCTTTCTCCTGACTTCCTTTGTGGTCTTGAAGGTCTGGGACTCCTGAGGGCCAACCTTAGCAGTAAAGACCAAGGCAAAGAAGGCTACTCTACCCTCAATTTTATGTTCAATTGTTCAATAAGCTATGCAGTAATTTCTGAATGCATTGCCTGGAGCAGGACACTGAAACCCAAAATGGAATAAAAGGCTTCCAGAAAAAAAGTAAAAAGAGCAGGCTTGGGCAAAGGGAAAATTGCTTCAATGCCATAGCGGCAGTTTTTAATGCAGGCAATTTAAAATGTTGATTCTTGAGACTGTTGACATCATAAGATAGCAGCTCCAATAGCTGCGGGGTCAAAACAGCAGTGCCCCAGGCCATTTAAGAGTGGACTAACACATTTATAAAAGACAGAAGGTGGTGGTAAGACAATGCATGATACCTGCTTAGTTGAAACTTAAGGATAAGGTCTGGCACAGAGCACCTTTGCAGCTGAATGCTCTAAGCCTAGGTGCAGCTCCTAAGAAAAGTGCATTTTCAGAGATCCTTTCTATGTCAGAAACACAAAGAGGAAGCTTTGTTCTTTTTCCTAAACTGCTCAGGAAAGGGCTGTTGCATGGCCAGAAGCAGCTCTCTGGAGCTTGAGATTAGAGCTGCTGTGACTTTGGACAAAGTTCCTAAGGTGTATTTCTGTGTCTGGAGCAACACCCTTACAATCACGCTCCTGAGTGACTTCAAAATATGTGGCTTTTCTGCTATGTTCATTTATCTTTTCTGCCCAGTAGAGTCTTACTGAAAAAGAAAACCAGAAATCTAAAGAGCCACCTTTTTGGGCGCAACCAGATAATTCTGGGAAGGGCTAGGAAAGGATGTTGGGACAGTTGTGTGGTTATTAATTACAATGACTCAGAGCAACAAGGAATAGAAGAGCCTGCCAGAATACTGGTGCTATAATCAAGCCAGGGACTGCTAAATTTGAGCAAGAACTGAACAAAATAAGCAAACAGCATGGCTGTTTGAACCATTTCCAGCAACCACTCAGCCTTGCACATTAACCATGCTGACTAGATCCTCTCTGACACCACATGTAACTTATAACTGCAACTACAATCCCAAAGCACGCTGGACTCAAGGAGAAGCAGGCTGAGTGAGGCTGAGTGGCAATCTGTGTAAACCTGCTGTGCCACGTACTACCTGCAAACACCTTACTTACGGGACATATAAACTAAAGGGATCCAAAAAGGATGAGACCAAAGGTCTTGCCTACCACAGTGAGGAACGCTGGGTAAAACAGAAAGGCCTGGACAGCATGCAGAGTTTTACTTATGCAACCAGAAGTTTTATTTTAAGTGGTTTAACTGAGCTACTGTAAAGAGTATTGTAGAGCTTGTGCTTGAGGACTGCTTTATTCTGATTTCAATTAAACTGGCTGTGAGAAAGCAAAATTTTGACCCTGCTTTCGGGTCAAAATAAGAATATCCACAAAGAATCCGCACCTCTTCCAATATAGCGCAGAAGGTGGAAAGATTCTTTTTTCAAAGTTTAGATAAATTCCAAATTAACAATCTTGTGTTCAAAAATGTATGTGACAATCAAGGATGAGTGCTAAGCTACAACAACATAGCTGACAAATAGGACAGGCCAGTGTTCTCAGTTCAAATTCACACATGTTGAAGGATATAATGGGAGCTCACAGCAGATAGACTGGTGGGTGTACACTGTTTCTATCTGACAGTGGCTCATTTAGATAGTAAAAATTCAAGCGAGTGTCTAGGGACAAGTGACACACCTCCTTTAGGGAAAAGCAACAAGTTCCACGCACATACAATATGCAAATGTTCTTAGTAACACAAATAATTCCTGAAAACATAGTTTTCCACAACCCTAGACACCTATGGCTTGTCTAACGACTTATCCTTGGTGCCATCTCAAG